GGTTTCTAAACCGCAATTCTATTAAAAATTTGATACCTACTGTGCTGCGGTAATGGAGTCAATTCAGGGTTGAACAATTTTGAAATATGTTTTCATTAACACAAATGATTTTTAATTGCCAGGGTGCAACCCAATGGTTCACACTGGTAGGCTGTATGCATATTTTAAATTACATTTGAATTAAATTTTTGACAATGATCGATCTAACACTTTACAGGATGCGAATCGGCTGCTTTTGTAATTCTAGAGCACCAAAGAATTCCTGTCAAGTGGATAGTTCTGCTTGGGGTAGGGGGGTTAGGTTTGGATCGGATATCAGGACTAGGATATTTGAAGATGCACTTATCTTCAATTCTAGACCATCTAACATTGGTATCTATGTTCTGCACTTGTTCATCATGTTTTGTCTAATTGGAATGATTTTAACAAGCTCGAAAGAGTCCAATGAGATTGATAGGTTTATTCATCCCAGTAGATTCTACTTTAATACCAGTAAGGCCTTCCCACTTGTGTCTCATATTAATTGTGCATACCTGTATATCTTTGGTTTTGCAATTAAGAACTTCATCTTTACTCAGTACCAAAGACTCAGTCGGAGATACCGAGTTGAAAGGCTGACTGCCACTAATATAGTGTTTGGTGCAGTAACTAGCACATCTAGGCAAGTTCTGTGTATGTCGATTTTACTTCTATTGACCTTAAACTTCTTGCTTATTGCAATATCAAACCCTAGTATGCTTAATCCCGGCCCTAATCACATATCAGTCTATTATCAGAATGTTCAAGGCTTGATACCGTTTTCTCAACTTAACAGTAAGCAACCTCATCTTGATAAATCCAAAATATATGAACTTAATGCACATATTGAAGATTCACATCCTGACGTTATTCTGCTTACAGAGACTTGGCTTAAAAACTCTGTAATGGATAGAGAGGTCATTCAAAGCTCTAACTATGAAGTATTTAGAAATGATCGCTCAAAAGTATCACATCCACCTGATGATAACAATCCGAAAAAATATAGGAAAAATGGTGGAGGAGTCTTGATAGCAATCAGATCTGATATTCAAGCTGAAATCAAAAGACTGTCTGTACGTAAGGGGTCCGAAATGGCCGCTATTGAAATAAACATAGGTGAAAGTAAATACATTTTTTGTGTGGTTTACAGAGTCGGAACTTTAGGAACAGTAAACCATGAAAGTATTGCCAGTACAATCAAGTCTTTCTACTCAAGCAAACGCCCTAAAAAACTTTTCATCGTTGGTGATTTTAATCTCAATGGAGTAGATTGGTTTTCTGAGGACGGAATTGTTACACCTTCTAGTTTAATTGAAGAGGACTTCATTACAACATTCCATAACTTTGATCTAGATCAATGTATAAGTAGTCCTACACATGTTAAGGGTAACATACTAGACCTTCTTTTGAGTAATTGTAAAAATTTAGTAAGAGATCTTACGGTATTGAAGGGTCACGGTGCTTGCAAATCTGACCATTATCCAATAGCTTTTAAAGTTGCTACAAAAATCACTTATTCTAAATGTCCTAAAAGAAAGATTCTCAACTTTAAGAAGGCAAACTGGACGGCCATTAACGAAGACTTGAATTCTATTGACTGGAATGCTATGTTTTTAAAGCTAGGAGATCCTGAATATTGTTGGCTTGCCTTAAAGTCTGTAATATCGAAAAGTATCTCAAAGCATATCCCAACTATTACTTTAAAGTTAGCATATAGAAATCCCTGGTTTGACTCAGAGGCCCATGAGGCATACTTGAAGAAAAAAAGAGCTCATGAAAAGTGGAAACTAACCGGCCAACAAAAGGATTATTTTAAGTTTTGCTCACTAAGAACACAGTTCAAAAATCTATCTGATCAGAAGATGAACGATAATCTATATAACGATGATGACCCTGCATTGATCTCAAAGAAATTCTGGTCGCATGTAAAATCCTCTTCAAAGAATTCAAGAATACCGGATAGGATGTACCTTAGAGAAACATACAGAGAATCTCCATTAGACAAAGCAAATATGTTCAATCAGTATTTCTCAGAACAATTTTCTGACGAATCTAAGTATGATATTGATATTGATTGGAGAAGTGATACTGAATTCGACTTAACTTTCTGTGCAGAGAATATAAAACATCTCTTAAGGAACATTAATTCTAACAAAGCTTGCGGCCCTGACGGTATCCATGGTAAGATACTGAAGAACTGTGCTGGTAGTCTCGCTTGCCCACTTTCAATTTTATTTGAGATATCATATAACTCCGGTATTATTCCAACTGAATGGAAGCTGGCTCACGTAGTTCCGGTTCACAAGAAGGGTAGTAAGGAGGACATTGAGAATTATCGGCCGATTTCCCTAACTAGTCTTATAATGAAAACATTTGAACGCCTTATTAAACAGGAACTCTTGAATAAAACAATGCATCTTCTTGATGATAGACAGCATGGATTTCTTGGAGACAGATCTTGTACCACAAATATGATTAACTTTATTGACAGTGTCACGCTATCCCTCAATGACTGTTCGACTATAAGTGTAGACATCATTTGCTTTGATTTTGCTAAAGCCTTTGATTCTGTAAATCATGATCTTATTCTTAAGAAACTTAAACTCGTCTTTAATATTGAAGGAAGGCTACTCAAATTCCTAACCAACTATCTTAGTGAACGGGAACAATGTGTTTTAGTTGATGGTAGACATTCAGAGATCAAACCTGTTTTGTCTGGAGTTCCTCAAGGCTCCGTCCTAGGTCCCATTCTATTTGTCTTATTCATAAACGATCTTCCCATGAGATTAAGTTCAGGCACAAATTTGGTACTTTATGCTGATGACACGAAAATATGGAGTCCTATTAAATCATACAACGATTATTGCACACTTCAGAATAACATAAATGAACTTAATTCTTGGAGCATAGAAAATAAAATGCGATTCCATCCATCAAAGTGTAAAGTCCTCTCTATTCCTGGAAAGAAATTCAGCAGTAGGATATTACCTATTCCATTTATCAGATTTCAATATTTGCTCGGTAATACTCCCTTAGATTACACCAGTACGGAAACAGATCTTGGAGTCGTTATAAATCAGGGCTTTCGTTTTGAAGAACACATAACTAAAATATTGTCCAAAGCTAACCAAAAATTTGGGCTGCTGAAACGCACTTGCTCATTTGTCCAAGATGAGAGACGAAGAAGAAATTTATACCTTGCACTTGTTAGAAGTCAATTTGAACACTGTTCCCAAATCTGGCGTCCATTTAATAAAACACAACTAGATAAGATGGATGCTTTTCAAAAAAGGTGTATTAAGTGGATTTTTGATGAGGAATTCACAAGCTATCAGTCCTTTGAAAACTATACTTACAAATGTCATCAATTGAAAATCCTTCCTCTCAGCAAGAGGTTTGAATTGAATGACCTGACCTTGTTTCACAAAATAGTCAATGGTGTATGCACACAAGAGCTTCCTAATTACTTACAACTATACAAAGGAAGCACACGCTTAAGATCATGTCACCATGACAGCCTAAGTTATGTAACGACTCTTGTTCAAACACAGTGTAATAGCAGTCTCCTTAAGAAATCATTCTTTTATCGGACACATCTGCTCTGGAATAAACTTCCTCTCGAAATAAGTTAATAAGAGACCATAGCTGTCCTGATATCTTCAAGGCCAAACTTAAGGATCACCTATGGTCGGAAATGCTACCCACAGATCCAAACGATAGTCACGCTGAATTCTACCTGTCTGATAATGATTAGATGCATCTCATTTCTCCCAATGCCAATTCTCTAATCTAAAATAACCGATCCAAACTATTTAAGGGGTTAGGGGTGGGTTGGGTTGTGGGTTGGGTTTTTAAAAGTATTGTATGATATAATCTATTTCATTAAAAAGTTAACAAATTATTAACATTATGATATTTTATGCACGCTGTATTTTATTAATGCACAATCATCTCTATTACTATATATCTTACATTTATATGTGTTGATTGTATGAAATGTTTTGTCAGGGACCATATTTTGTAGGTGTAATTTTTGCACGAACTACGTTCTGGTTTCCCGTCATTATAGTACATAGAAATCACTTTTTGACCGTGTTATTTTCATGCAATTACATTGATGTATGTACTATTTTGAAAAGATTTTCAATAAAACAAAAAAAAATCGTTTTAAAAATGAGAATCGTTTTCAATTTCAATATGAAAATCGTTTTTTATTTAAATTTTAAAATCATTTTACAAAACAAATTCAAAATCGTTTTTATTTTGCGATTAATTGTATGATTAATTTTTTAATTCAAAATTTTCAGTGAAAATTTTGGTGAGCCATCTCGGCCGCCATACACGACAGGCGCATTATGATAAACTGATTATTGATTAAGCATTTCATGGCGCGGCCACTGTCATGTGCAAGTGTGCGAGCACTGTTGTTTTTTGACAAATTTGCTGAAAGCAAAGACCATTTTGGAAATTCTGAATTCTTTAAGCCAAACTTATTTGTTTATTAAGGATAAGTACTTGTGCTTTAAAAAAGTTATTTCCGCCAATTCCAAACGCTTTATAAACAATTAATTGTAAATAATTGTTTATAGCACAATTTTTACCTTGTAATTGTGCAATGACTATATTGCCATTGTGTTAAAAAACATTTTTTATCTTAATAAAATTTAGGCCAAAAAAGGTACTTTTACTTTTAGCCACATGTTTTTTTTCAGAATTTTTGCCTTGGTATCGTATATAATTATTTTGCCTGTGCGTTTAAGTTCACCATTTACTAGGCTCGCTACTATTTTTCGAAGTTCTTGTATATGTGAAGGGAACTGGGCCAAGCGAAAAATATATTAATACAGCATGTACGGAGACTAATTATTGAACTTGGGGATAGCCTGGAAGATTTTGTTTATAAACTTCCTCTATCATATTATGTTTTTTTACAAATTGTAGAAGGTTACGCGGTTTAAATACTAACTGGTCTTTTTTTGCAGATACTGATAGCTCAGCTAAGACACAGACTGCTTTGACGACCGTTGGCATTGTAATAGCGGCTCTATTATTCGTCACTCTCGTCAGTCGTCACTCTGCTTGTTTGTCTTTGTAAAAAAGGATCAAGACAGCATGAGATGGAACAACCCACAGAATGTCCCATCATGACCAATTCACCCCCACCAATTCTTGTTCCAGTGCAACTGCAGCAAGCTATAAATGTGCGAGAGGAGCCGTTGTCTCTAAATCCAACTCTGTCTAATGTTGTTGTGAATAATAAGCAATATGTTCCAAATTATGAAGTTTTGATGGGTTATCCTGCGGCCGTGGTCTGAGGGCTCTTGCTAAATAGCTAAATCACTCGCCCAAATCATGATGACTATAGTAACAACTTTTACGCGTCTCCTACCTTCTATATATGCACGTTGGTTATTTGTGATATGTTTAGCGCTTACTATATATAATATAGAGTAGATATGAGCAATCAGGACTAATATTGTCTTCTCAAAATGTTATAAAACACGGCTCGATTAGCACTATATCATATTATTCTATTGTACTTTTTGTCTTTTGAAGTTGCTGACTGAACCTGAGATAACAACTTACTGTAATGCTTATTTCAATATGATACACACTATACACTATACACACTATAATACATTGCTATTTTTCTGATTATAACATCTTTTGAGGTTGCTGAGTAATGCTTAATTCAATATGATACACACTATAATACATTGCTATTTTTCTGATTATAACATCTTTTGAGGTTGCTGAGTAATGCTTATTTCAATATGCTATACTATATTGATGTTTTCCTGTATTAACATCTATTTTTGTCTGAATGCAGAATAGTTATGAGTATGACAATATGCTAAATTTATGACTATTAAAAATCTAAACATTTTCTAGAAAAATCATCAAATGACACTATTATAGTAGTATACATAACAATGCACACTTAATGATAATCAATACCTACTGAAGATTTGTAAATTCAAATTAAATTGGTCGACAGGTCGAGAATAAATATATTTATTGAACAAGATATTTGATAATTTAACGTACACATTACATGCATGAAGCATGGTTACAAAAACAACGCCCAGAAATTCAAATACATATGTATATTTTAATGAAATGTCGATGAGCATAAATTTTAGTTTCTTTTTTTTTGTACAACAATATCATCAAAAATAAAGTTTTAAAATTTTTAAAGAAAAATAACTTTTTATTTCAATTTATAAAGAATCTGAAATAAAACCCATAATGCAACTAAAAACTATGAAAATTGAAGCTTACAAAATTAAATCTTAAATTTTTTGCCATGCCAAAAAAAACTAAAATGATACTGATACTCTGATAGTTCAAAAACTAAAAAGCTACAGATAAAAGGAAAACCGAAATTGATACAAGACAGATAGCGCCGGTAACACACATAACCTACGTAGCGCAAGTAAAACTTGGTCCATTTGTTCCGAGCGGGTGGATCCAATAAATATAATTGCTTTTGTATAAACACAAGCCTGTATATCATTATGGAACTAATAACATTTTAAAAATCTGTTAAAATTTTCAACACTTTAGTTTTGTGAAACATCGTCTGCAGTTTGTGGGGCACTAGCGCAGCAGAATCTCCCCGATACCTTATCAAAAGCGAATATGTTAGCGGTGACCAGTAGGGTCACCGCAGAGATGATGCCTCCCCAGTACCAGTTGTAGATCACAGTCACACATGCGAGGAGGATTGCAGCCGAGGGGATCATGGGGGTCCATACTCCCCACCGGTATATTCTGGAGAGTTTAGGTCATTATAAAAAGTAATGTTAAAATAACAATCTGATACAGTGTACTCCCCACCGGTATATTCTGGAGAGTTTAGGTCATTATAAAAAGTAATGTTAAAATAACAATCTGATACAGTGTACTCCCCACCGGTATATTCTGGAGAGTTTAGGTCATTATAAAAAGTAATGTTAAAATAACAATCTGATACAGTGTACTCCCCACCGGTATATTCTGGAGATTCAGGTCATTATAAAAAGTAATGTTAAAATAACAAACTAATACAGTGTACTCCCCACCGGTATATTCTGGAGAGTTTAGCTCATTATAAAAAGTAATGTTAAAATAACAAACTGATACAGTGTACTCCCCACCGGTATATTCTGGAGAGTTTAGATCATTATAAAAAGTAAGGTTAAAATAACAAACTGATACAATGTACTCCCCACCGGTATATTCTGGAGAGTTTAGGTCATTATAAAAAGTAATGTTAAAATAACAAACTAATACAGTGTACTCCCCACCGGTATATTCTGGAGAGTTTAGGTCATTATAAAAAGTAATGTTAAAATAACAAACTAATACATACTCCCCACCGGTATATTCTGGAGAGTTTAGGTCATTATAAAAAGTAATGTTAAAATAACAAACTAATACATACTCCCCACCGGTATATTCTGGAGAGTTTAGGTCATTATAAAAAGTAATGTTAAAATAACAAACTGATACAGTGTCCATACTCCCCACCGGTATATTCTGGAGAGTGTAGGTCATTATAAAAAGTAATGTTAAAATAACAAACTGATACAGTGTACTCCCCACCGGTATATTCTGGAGAGTTTAGCTCATTATAAAAAGTAATGTTAAAATAACAAACTGATACAGTGTACTCCCCACCGGTATATTCTGGAGAGTTTAGGTCATTATAAAAAGTAATGTTAAAATAACAAACTAATACAGTGTACTCCCCACCGGTATATTCTGGAGAGTTTAGGTCATTATAAAAAGTAATGTTAAAATAACAAACTAATACAGTGTACTCCCCACCGGTATATTCTGGAGAGTTTAGGTCATTATAAAAAGTAATGTTAAAATAACAAACTGATACAGTGTACTCCCCACCGGTATATTCTGGAGAGTTTAGGTCATTATAAAAAGTAATGTTAAAATAACAATCTAATACAGTGTCCATACTCCCCACCGGTATATTCTGGAGAGTTTAGGTCATTATAAAAAGTAATGTTAAAATAACAAACTGATACAGTGTACTCCCCACCGGTATATTCTGGAGAGTTTAGGTCATTATAAAAAGTAATGTTAAAATAACAAACTAATACAGTGTACTCCCCACCGGTATATTCTGGAGAGTTTAGGTCATTATAAAAAGTAATGTTAAAATAACAAACTAATACTCCCCACCGGTATATTCTGGAGAGTTTAGGTCATTATAAAAAGTAATGTTAAAATAACAAACTGATACAGTGTACTCCCCACCGGTATATTCTGGAGAGTTTAGGTCATTATAAAAAGTAATGTTAAAATAACAAACTGATACAGTGTCCATACTCCCCACCGGTATATTCTGGAGAGTTTAGGTCATTATAAAAAGTAATGTTAAAATAACAAACTAATACAGTGTACTCCCCACCGGTATATTCTGGAGAGTTTAGCTCATTATAAAAAGTAATGTTAAAATAACAAACTGATACAGTGTACTCCCCACCGGTATATTCTGGAGAGTTTAGGTCATTATAAAAAGTAATGTTAAAATAACAAACTAATACAGTGTACTCCCCACCGGTATATTCTGGAGAGTTTAGGTCATTATAAAAAGTAATGTTAAAATAACAAACTAATACATACCCCCCACCGGTATATTCTGGAGAGTTTAGGTCATTATAAAAAGTAATGTTAAAATAACAATCTGATACAGTGTACTCCCCACCGGTATATTCTGGAGAGTTTAGGTCATTATAAAAAGTAATGTTAAAATAACAAACTAATACATACCCCCCACCGGTATATTCTGGAGAGTTTAGGTCATTATAAAAAGTAATGTTAAAATAACAAACTAATACAGTGTACTCCCCACCGGTATATTCTGGAGAGTTTAGGTCATTATAAAAAGTAATGTTAAAATAACAAACTAATACAGTGTACTCCCCACCGGTATATTCTGGAGAGTTTAGGTCATTATATAAAGTAATGTTAAAATAACAAACTAATACAGTGTACTCCCCACCGGTATATTCTGGAGAGTTTAGGTCATTATAAAAAGTAATGTTAAAATAACAAACTGATACAGTGTACTCCCCACCGGTATATTCTGGAGAGTTTAGGTCATTATAAAAAGTAATGTTAAAATAACAAACTGATACAGTGTACTCCCCACCGGTATATTCTGGAGAGTTCAGGTCATTATAAAAAGTAATGTTAAAATAACAAACTGATACAGTGTACTCCCCACCGGTATATTCTGGAGAGTTTAGGTCATTATAAAAAGTAATGTTAAAATAACAAACTGATACAGTGTACTCCCCACTGGTATATTCTGGAGAGTTCAGGTCATTATAAAAAGTAATGTTAAAATAACAAACTGATACAGTGTACTCCCCACCGGTATATTCTGGAGAGTTCAGGTCATTATAAAAAGTAATGTTAAAATAACAAACTGATACAGTGTACTCCCCACCGGTATATTCTGGAGAGTTTAGGTCATTATAAAAAGCAATGTTAAAATAACAAACTGATACAGTGTACTCCCCACCGGTATATTCTGGAGAGTTTAGGTCATTATAAAAAGCAATGTTAAAATAACAAACTGATACAGTGTACTCCCCACCGGTATATTCTGGAGAGTTTAGGTCATTATAAAAAGCAATGTTAAAATAACAAACTGATACATACTCCCCACCGGTATATTCTGGAGAGTTTAGGTCATTATAAAAAGTAATGTTAAAATAACAAACTGATACAGTGTACTCCCCACCGGTATATTCTGGAGAGTTTAGGTCATTATAAAAAGTAATGTTAAAATAACAAACTAATACATACTCCCCACCGGTATATTCTGGAGAGTTTAGGTCATTATAAAAAGTAATGTTAAAATAACAAACTAATACAGTGTATTCCCCACCGGTATATTCTGGAGAGTTTAGGTCATTATAAAAAGTAATGTTAAAATAACAAACTGATACAGTGTACTCCGCACCGGTATATTCTGGAGAGTTTAGGTCATTATAAAAAGTAATGTTAAAATAACAAACTAATACAGTGTACTCCCCACCGGTATATTCTGGAGAGTTTAGGTCATTATAAAAAGTAATGTTAAAATAACAAACTGATACAGTGTACTCCCCACCGGTATATTCTGGAGAGTTTAGGTCATTATAAAAAGTAATGTTAAAATAACAAACTAATACAGTGTACTCCCCACCGGTATATTCTGGAGAGTTTAGGTCATTATAAAAAGTAATGTTAAAATAACAAACTAATACAGTGTACTCCCCACCGGTATATTCTGGAAAGTTTAGGTCATTATAAAAAGTAATGTTAAAATAACAATCTGATACAGTGTCCATACTCCCCACCGGTATATTCTGGAGAGTTCAGGTCATTATAAAAAGTAATGTTAAAATAACAAACTGATACAGTGTACTCCCCACCGGTATATTCTGGAGAGTTTAGGTCATTATAAAAAGTAATGTTAAAATAACAAACTAATACAGTGTACCCCCCACCGGTATATTCTGGAGAGTTTAGGTCATTATAAAAAGTAATGTTAAAATAACAAACTGATACAGTGTACTCCCCACCGGTATATTCTGGAGAGTTTAGGTCATTATAAAAAGTAATGTTAAAATAACAATCTGATACAGTGTACTCCCCACCGGTATATTCTGGAGAGTTTAGGTCATTATAAAAAGTAATGTTAAAATAACAAACTGATACAGTGTACTCCCCACCGGTATATTCTGGAGAGTTTAGGTCATTATAAAAAGTAATGTTAAAATAACAAACTGATACAGTGTACTCCCCACCGGTATATTCTGGAGAGTTTAGGTCATTATAAAAAGTAATGTTAAAATAACAAACTAATACATACTCCCCACCGGTATATTCTGGAGAGTTTAGGTCATTATAAAAAGTAATGTTAAAATAACAAACTAATACAGTGTACTCCCCACCGGTATATTCTGGAGAGTTTAGGTCATTATAAAAAGTAATGTTAAAATAACAAACTGATACAGTGTACTCCCCACCGGTATATTCTGGAGAGTTTAGGTCATTATAAAAAGTAATGTTAAAATAACAAACTAATACAGTGTACTCCCCACCGGTATATTCTGGAGAGTTTAGGTCATTATAAAAAGTAATGTTAAAATAACAAACTGATACAGTGTACTCCCCACCGGTATATTCTGGAGAGTTCAGGTCATTATAAAAAGTAATGTTAAAATAACAAACTAATACATACTCCCCACCGGTATATTCTGGAGAGTTTAGGTCATTATAAAAAGTAATGTTAAAATAACAAACTGATACAGTGTACTCCCCACCGGTATATTCTGGAGAGTTTAGGTCATTATAAAAAGTAATGTTAAAATAACAAACTGATACAGTGTACTCCCCACCGGTATATTCTGGAGAGTTTAGGTCATTATAAAAAGTAATGTTAAAATAACAAACTAATACATACTCCCCACCGGTATATTCTGGAGAGTTTAGGTCATTATAAAAAGTAATGTTAAAATAACAAACTAATACAGTGTACTCCCCACCGGTATATTCTGGAGAGTTTAGGTCATTATAAAAAGTAATGTTAAAATAACAAACTAATACAGTGTACTCCCCACCGGTATATTCTGGAGAGTTTAGCTCATTATAAAAAGTAATGTTAAAATAACAAACTGATACAGTGTACTCCCCACCGGTATATTCTGGAGAGTTTAGCTCATTATAAAAAGTAATGTTAAAATAACAAACTAATACATACTCCCCACCGGTAT